CCCGCCCCCCCGCGGCGGGGCGCCCCCCCCCCCCCCCCCCACACCCACTGTGGTTTTCAGGGTCCCCCGCTCTTCTGGGGGACCTTGGACCACTGCAAATCTCAGTATAGAGAGCGGGGAGCAGAGTGGAGAACGTCTGTGAGCAGCCTTCCCCTCTCAGCTGTCACAGGAGAGCCAGCACGGTGCTGCGCTCGAATTCCTGCATTGGAAGTGACAATATGCTATCACACAGGGGATTGTTAGTTTCTGTGTGATAGCAATAAAGTTAAGTGAAAAAATAAATAAAAAATAATTTATAAAAAGTAACAAATAGTAAAATAAATTAAAATTGTAAAAAATAATAAGAAATATTAAAATAAAAAGTGATAACAAGTAAAAAATTATAAAAATCAATAAAAATGTTTAAAAAATAAAGTCAAATAAAATAAGAAAAATACAAATGTTAAAAAGTAAAAAAAAAAATAAACATGCAAAAAGTGATAAAAAAAGACAAAAAATAAGAAATAAAGAAAAGATAAAATGTTTTAATATGTGTGTTTCCCAAAATAAAACACAATACCAACTTATTCTCAGTGTTGGTACTGAGATAAATAAAATGATTTTGCGTCGCAGTTTGGGCACTCAGGCTCAAAAACGTTCGCCATCACTGCTATAGAGTGTTACTTTAGTGACCATTTTGAGTCTGCTGACATCACATCCAAGATGGCGGTGCCCTGCAGCAGTCTCAGGGCCTTTGGATGTCTACACAAGGGTGGTAAATACAGCCCCGAAGACAGCAGATACAATGACAGAGCATGGGCACCTCATAAAATGTAATCTTCAAGCAAGTAACCCTGTCCTTGTCCTAGCCTGTCTCCAGACCAACAATCTTCACATAAGACTATATGTGCATTTAATGTATGGCGGCCATGTTATTTAGCTTACAGGTAAATAAGATGCCCGAGATCCAGTAAATACAGCCCTGTCTGTAGGTATTGGGTTGGAAAGCCCCCAGTATGAAATATTAAAGGAGAACTATGAGGTAAGTCCTTTTCACTCATCCTGATAGTTCTAGCCGACCTGTGGCAATGAGACTGTCACAGGTCGGCTCAGTAGATCGGGAGGTGAGCGAACACATACCAGCGTTCGCTCACTTCTCGATCCTGTCACGGCTCTCTGCCGTGACAGGGGAGGGGCTGGATTTCCCCCCTCCCCCCTCCGATCCGCCAGCGCTGACTGGCGGAACGGACAAGGGAGGGGGCGGGTACAGCTGGCTCTGCCTCTAGATAGGCAGAGCCAGCTGTCACTCACGCAGCTGGGCGGATCCAGACATAATTGTCGGGATCCGCTTCAGCTGCGGCGTCTCAGTATACCGCGAGCTTTAGCTAGTTTGTGTCCTCCCGTTACCCTAAGGAGAACTATGGGGGAAAAGCCCTGACCCCATAGTTCTCCTTTAAATGAATGAATTTTGTTTACATGTGCCCGGCCTCAGTTCCCATCTGGATCTGCTGAAGTTTGGAAGCTTCATAAATGTACCTGTGATGTCATCCCGTGACACAAGAGGGCTGAACTTCATGGCATAGAGGTCAGACACTGTGACGGTCCAGCCTTTCTTCTTCAGGGTTTCCACAGCTGCCTCCTTCATGGCGTAACTAAATGAAGTCCGTTCCTGGTGAGCCAGCACCACCAAAGCATTTTTACCTAGAACCAAACACATGGGGACATATTGCTGAGAAAGTCATTGCATCTGAGCTCTGCTCATCTTCTGTAGGCAACTTTTCCCCATAAGACTCTGCATACAAGGCTTCATATTAGCAAGACATGACCTCACATGTAATGGAGAGTGCGGAGGGATTGGAAACTCTGAATGGTGAATCAGTAGATTTTTATCTCTGTATCTTTCAGTGTAGGACAGATTGTATTCGGAGCAAATACAATACAATACAATACACTTTAATTGTTTAAAGTGTAATCTAAACCCAAAACTGTAATCTATTGCAGTTTACCAATCCCTAGATGTGGTGGCCGCATTTGTGCTTTTTCCTTTTATTTTTACCTAGTGATCATGCCAGTAACATACTTCCTGTGCTAGGGTGACAACACTCACCACTGTACTGTATATATACAGGGAGCCATGGTTGTCATGTTGTCAGCCTGGTTTACCAGGAAAGGGAGGGCAGTGAGCATACAGCCCCCTTCCCCCCTTCCTGTACCATACCAGGCCATTTGCCTTTCAACATTGGGAAGCGGTGTGCAAAGCGTCCCCCCCTTGCAAAAAAAAAGAACATTGTCCTGATGTTGAGAGACAAGGGCCTCTTCT